CCCCCCCCCCCCGCCCCCTCCGCTGCTCTTGACCAGCCAGGAAAGCAGCAGGGAGTTGCACAGCATTTATCAGCCCATCAAGAAAACAAAAAGCTCTCTCATTAGTTCAAGTTCTTCTTAAACAGCCTTTTTCCAAGGAAGGAACGGAGGGACATTACCAGCTGACCTGCTGAATAGCTCTAAAAAGCTCTAAGCTAGGGGTGGACAAAATATGGCCTGTGGGCCATATCCAGCCTGCCAAGTCATTCTATCCAGCCTGCTGGGCACCTAAAAAAAATTTAGGAAATTAATATTAAATCTACTCCTGGCTGCATGTCAAAGACGACAGGAGCTAGGGACAGTAGGACCCAGGGGAAGCTGCCAGAATCCAGAAGCAAGGCTGGCCCAACCCCACCCCACCCCTCCCATCCCCACCTCCCAACCAGAAGCCTCTGCCTGCTGCCACTTTCACTGCTTCCCTGCATGCCCGCCAGCTGCTCCAGCACCATGTGGTTCCCAGCTGAATCACTAGACCATGGGAGCACTGGGCCAGGAGCAGGAGGGGTACGTGTGAGTGTGCACGTGTGCAGTGAGGGAGGCACAGAGTATATGTGCGTCTGTTCGTAGGGCGAGTCCCACACACACCCCACTATACACATGCACCCACACCCTCCCTCACATTGCCATACATGCAGACCCTGACACACTTCACACATCCCAGCCACCCATCCCACACAAACCCCACATATCCACATGCTCCCTCACCCCACAACTATCCACGCTCCCACAACCCCTCACACACCCATGACCCCCCACAAACCTATACCCACTCCCCCAACAGTATACAAGAGTAAGCTATTGTGCAACCACCTCTATGTGCACTACACAAAGGCATGTAAAATCAGAACAAAAATATTTTTGAAATCAAATTAATGAATGTTGCATATGTTTGATTTTTAGAATATAATTTGGTATTTTTCTGGTTTTGAGATGGCAAAATCCCTTGCTGAAAGGAGTATTTCTGGGGACAAGGGGAGGGACTTCTGGTGACAAAGGTCAGGAGGCGTGGCTTCCAGTCCCAAGATAGCGACCAGGAGCAGGGCTACTCGTACAGCCCTCAACAGCTTGCCAAAAATGGTTAAGTGGCTCTCCATCCGAAAGAATTCCCCACCCCTGCCCTGAGCAGACTATCCTGTCTGCCTTGCACAGACCCCTCTCAGCATTAGCAAGCATACCACATGCTGGCTATGGTCTGTGCTATGGGAGAGGGGAGGGGGAATCCCTGCTTGAGCAGGGAGTGGGAGTGGGAGAAGAAAAGAGCGCAAGGGGAACCCAGGCAGACACTGCTGTGCCTCATCTCCACCAGAGCTCCAGCTAAGGAGAAGAGCAGCAGGGCCAGCCCTGCTCTGGAGCAGAGTGCCCCACCCAGGGCTGCAAAGCTTCTGGGATGCTGGGGGAGCCCAATTTACCTTAAACCAGGAAGGGATCTAGGACAGGCATTGCATAAATGCATTTGACCTAAATCAGTTAAATCTGATACCACATTCAACCAGGTTCACCTCAAACTGGTTTCAGCCATTTTCAAACTGTTATGTGCACTGAATGTCTGTTCTGTTACACGTTTAAACCAGTTCCTGATCACTTAAATTAGTTTGTGTGTAATGTCTGTCCCTAGGCCTACAAGAGATTCTTGTTGGGACCTATTTTTATTCAGTTCTGTGTTGCATTGGGAGACAAGAGTGAAAATAAGCAAATTTTGGAAACAGCCACTGCTATGTGAGAATTCAAGAATTAGTTTACAACAAATCCCCTCAAGTGAAGAGGCCTAATTCTTTACAGCAACCAACTCTATCTACTCTCGCCTCTTTACAAACAGCAGCACCTGCCAAGAGCAAAACTCCATATGCTTTCCCCTTCAAGGTTGCTGTTGTACATTAGAGCCATAGCCGCACTGCCCCTGAAGACACAAGAGCAAGTCACAAGAGGAAAGGACACTCCCCCTTCACTTAACAGGTCTACTTCAAATTAACTCTGAGTTGACATGACCAAAAGCTTGACCACTTAAAAGCACTTTGCTCTGCTACCTGGTGCTCTTACCTTTTCTCCAAAATGCCAGATTAAGATGGAGTCATGCTCCCTGACAACACAAATAGGCCTGAGTAGCTGACAGAGGACACTATCTGCAACTGTAGTTACTATGGCACTCTCCTCATTTGTGCAGTATTCAAGTATACTTCTGCTGGAGGTGTCAGCAGAAGAGAGTGCACCACGATCCCCACGGTAGCAGGGGATACAGAAATCCACATTACCTAAAATTAAGTCCTGTAGACTCTGATTTAACTTGTTCCTAAAGACCTTTTTCTTTCTGCCACATGGCTAAAGGGTGAAACAGTGAACACCCCTTTAGAGCCTTCTTTAAAAACTTTATTTATAGGAATTTTTAAAATGATCGACAGACAAAAGGGACAGTAGTAACAGGTTGGCAGCCATGGTAAAAGGTGTGCTAAACCTGCTCTCCATCAATCTAATTGAAAAGAAAATCCCTTTGGGTCTCAGTGTGTTTCCACAAGTGAGACTAATGAAAAGAGGCAGTAGAGTTAGAAGAGGGAATTTATATGCAAGCTGAGGTTTGGAGCAGAAGCAGATAAGGACAATGATTTTAGAAGCAAGCACATAAAACAGCCGGAACATTTTAAGTAAGGAAATAAATCTTGGAAGGGTTAAAGAAACAATACACACAGGCTATTTCTGGTGCAGAAGATGGTCAGGATTTTCTGAACATTAATTACAGAATAAGAGCAGCAAAAGGGTGATAAAAAAATTGTCCTTCATGGGGATATTTCAAAACGTAGATGAAAGACTGTACAGTTATAAGTATTATTTGGGAGAAAGGAAGTTATGATAGGGAGTTAACTATACAGAAAACTTCACAAGGGGCCCTTTTCATGCTAGAAGAACTGATGCTTCTCTAAACATAGATTACCAAGAACTAATAAGGTTAAACATCATACAGGCAACTGATTTCAAGAGAGCTATGACTGAAGGAAAGGGTATTGCAGTACTGTGGGAAATGTTAAGTGACCTGGCTGCAGGTAATACACTGAAGCCCAAAATCTGTCAGCGATGAAAGTCAGCCAACTCATTTAGTGTTATACAGCAGGTGAGACTCATATGCTGGAATTACGAATCATTCTGTACTGTGCTGCTGCAGTTTAGAAATGAAGACGGGTCTGTTCAAGTGAAAAAAATGTTGATTTTTAAAGTCTTGGGCAAAATATATTAAGAGACTGGAGCTGAATGGGCATTTTTCAGTGACATCCAAAGCTAGTCTTTTTCGATAACTGCTTGCCAAAGCACTGGACCTTTCTTTCTTATTTAAAAAACTATGGATAGACAGCAAACAGTTGTTCAGATACATTTTTGTACTTATACTGTTCTGACTGGGTGTCTGTGCACTACTCCCAGCACAAATGTTCATTTAAGTTTTGTGTATGGTTTCTGATCTTTACATTCAGCAAAAAACTTGTAATCGATAAAACTCAGTGTCTTGAGTGCTTTCAGAAAGCAAACAAATGGGTGCAAGCATGAACAAAGAATGTTTTAAAATACATTCAAACCTGTTCATGGGAAAACTTAATTCATCCAAGTCTCAGCACAGCAAATACAGTGTCAATATTTCACTTAAGTGGTTGAGGGGAAAATGAACAAAGCAGTAGTGTGCTGGAGGCTTCAGAACATTAAAACCAGAAAATAGAGGGACTTGTCTTAAGGTATTAGCAGTCAATCATTTTTAGCAGTGGAAATTCCTGATAAGTTTCCACTGCTAGAAATCCTTCCAAGGGAGGATGCAGTACAGGAATGCAGCCTGCAGCTGTCCTTGCTCCCCAAATCAGGGTGATCCTAGCTTGGAGAAGGCATGCATAGTGGCTCCTTCACACCCCTCAGACCATGGAGGACGAGGAAAGACTACTCCGTGCCTTCCCAACCAGGGACCCTCAGTCTGGGGAACAGGAAGGGGGCAGTGGACAACTGCTCCTGTGTTTCACTCCCAGCGTCTGGGAGCAGAGCAGACGAAACAGCAAAGCAAAGCCCCTTGCCCACTCCCCAGACCAGGAAGTTGGTGGCCTTGGGAAAGAGGTACAAAGTAGCAGTCAGCTGCTTCACTCCTCTCCTTGACAGGTCAGAGAGGGGAGTGAAGCATCAGGACAAAGTTCCCCACCATTCCCCAGACCCAGAGGGGGCATGAAGCTGCATCCAGGTATTTCATTCGTGCAAAAAGAAACTCCCTCAGAGGAGAGATCTCCCAGTGTGAACATGGAACATCTTCTCCTGGAGAGGGTACGTTGAAAGATTGCTTGTGCACTCCTAGTTTTTACTGGGAGAGCAGCAATACAATAGATGGGCATAGACATGGAAGTGTACTGCAACAAAAGCATGACCTCTGCAGAACCTAAAAAAACTTGCGTTAAAAAGTTCCAAATTATTTTATGTCCCCAGACTGGTTGCCAATGAATTTTGTTCTGTGTTGCAACTAGCTCTCTCATTAGTTTAATTCTCCAGCCAGTTATTTGCAGCTATTGTTATGAAAGTTATGAAAAAGTTAGTCCTGCCACGAAAAGAATAAATATGATCTGTAGTGTATCTGGCAAATTACTGACCAGGGACAAAACAGGAAACTTCAGGGACTTTCAGCTAATTAAAACTAATAATCATAATCTGCATATAGCCATACCAGAATGAACAAATGCCACTCCAGCCCTCAGCACATTTAAACGTGGACGATATCAGTTTGTTCAGGTTTAAAATTTGACCTACCTTAAAATAGTTAAAATCTGGTGGGGAATGTCCTCTAAACTCTAAATATCTAGTTAAAACACAAAAAACAAATCCAGCACTCATTGCCAAGCAATTCAGAAAGTAGCCCTGATTCACACAGACCCCAATTTAAGATTGATTTGTGATCTTTGGCAGAGCTAGGTCATAGTAGACTAGTTAAAGAACTGTGCTACCCTTCATACAATTAGTGAACCTTTAAGTCACATTAACAGAAAAATCCAGCAGTTTCAGAAGGGAATGAGGAATCAGTATGTTAAAGAAAAGGGAGAAACTAAGAGAAACATTTCTGAAGTTACAGTCAACTATACTGAACTAAAAAACGAATAAAATATTAATTTAAATGTTCAGTTTAAAGATAACATTTCAAACAAATACCAGTTTCTAAAAAGAAACAGCCATTGAGAATTACATTAACTCCCTCACATTAAACAGAGGAAAATGGATGTAAATGTAAATGAAACTATACACAGCTAGGGTGGCCATCATAGAGGACAAATCCGGCTGTCCTCTACTGATACCAAACCGGACACCTTTAGGTTCTTTTTTATTTCTCTTGAACAGAAAGAGAGGACAAAGGCATCAGGTTTCGTATCAATAGAGGACAGAGTAGCAGAACACTGGAATGTCCTGTATGATGGTCAGACTTACGCACAGCAGAGGCACAGATTAAATTTTTGTTAAGATGTATAAAGTCCTGCTTCACAAGAACACCTAGGTCCTACAGTGATGCAAATAATAAAACTTCAGGATTTTATTGGCTATGCCCATGCATAGGAAGTATGCCTCTAAGGGTCAGTATCTCCCTCATTGTTCAGCACACAAATAAAACAAGTGCTTTTGTATAGGATTATTAGTTTAATAGAATCATAAATCTCAATAGTGAAATCTATTTGCAAATATTGAAATAAGATCTGGAAAGACTTCAAATAAAATACTATGCACTTCAAAATTTTACAGCAATCTAAGGCTCATAAACGATATTATTCAGATAAAGCACAAATACAAGAATGAAAACCTCTGTTTCCAGTATTTCTTGGAAAGTCTTACCATTAGAAAGGATAAAACTACCATATTTACTCAAATATAAAAATAATGCCCCCAATAACTAGATTCTATATATAGAAAAATTATAAATGTGTTATAATTTTCCAGGTATAGAATCTAAATAGTGGAGGTTTACCTTGAATTTCTTCTCCTCCAACTGCTACAGCAGGGAAAATAAATCTGAGGGGGGAGGGGAAGGGTAGGGGGGGTCAGGTTGTGTAGTGGGCAAACTGAGTTATGCTAACAGGGGGTGTAGTTGTAGCCATGTCGGTCTAAGGACATAGGCAGACAAGGTTCTTTGGGTAGATGTGAATATCTTTTATTAGACCAACTTAAATAGTTGGACAACAATTTTTAAGCAAGCTTTCGGGTTCAAAAACCCTTTGTTGGGCTTTGAATTTTCAGCAGTTGGTGTGTGCTCTTCCTGGATGGAATGAAAAGTAAAGAAGCCAGAGCCTGGGCTGGTATGCATGCAAGACAGGTAGTCAGTGAAGATGTAGACTGAGGAGTCAGTGGGTGAGAGATGGGGGGAGGGGGAGGAGGAGAAGGGGGATGAACACTGGAGAAGTACCTGGGAAGTCAGAGGTCAGGCAGGTAATAATAATGTGTCATACATCCAATGTCTATATTTAGTCCATGATTTTTAGTATCCAGGAGGTTGATGAAGTGGAGTTCATAGGCTCATCTCTGGGAAGTGTTTTGTAAATTTCCTTTGAGGATTAAAACAGAGATTGGAGAGAGAGTGGTTTTCTTGTGAGAAATGTGGGGGCACATGAACTCCACTTCATCAACCTCCTGGATATTAAAAATCATGGACTAAATATAGACATTTGGATTTATGACACATTATAATCTGCCTGACATCTGGCTCCCCAGCTACTTCTCCACTATTCATCCCCTTTCTCTCCCCCCCACCAGCATAGAGGCTACTATTACAGTTCACTTGATACCACATCAGACAAGTTGCTGTGTCAATCCTTGAGGGCTTTGGCAAAAAGTAATCCCATTGGTAACAGTCCCCACAACTTCTTCCCCAGTTCAAACTGCTGCAGTCTTGGTCACCATCCACATGTGCTTTCTGCTCTCCACAATAAATGACTCCTCCATAAGATAGTGCTGTTCCCAACAGTACTCTTACGGGGGAGTCAATTAATTTACTGCATCCTTATGCCAGTGCATGTGTAGATGGTGACACTTTACTGCAGAGCTAATTAGTGAAATTCCACAGTAAAGCTCACGTGTAGATGCATCCACTATGCATATTAGCCAAAAGGCTTATGATTTTCCATAAAGTTCATTAGACTGGGCCCCAGAATCAACAGTATTTCAAGCCATAGTGACCTCACAGCTCAGCACTGCTTAGTGTGTGTGCGATTTAGATTCCCTCATGAAAAATCTATGTGCTAATTAATACCCCACTCAAGACTGGAACCAGGTATTCTTGTCACGAGTCCTGGGATCCTCCAAAATTTTATAGATAGATGAAGCACAGGGCAACCTAGTCCAGCTCCACTTCATGGAGGGCAAGGCCATGCTAATCATGTGGGCCAGGCTGAGAGAGGAGGCAACAAAGGGATTCTGGGTGAATTGTTTGGAGCACTGTTTGGTGATGTGTGCCAGACACTTAAGGCTGGTGAAGAAACAAGAATCCTTGGGAATGGGAAAGAAGTGCACAGTTCAGCTGTGGGAGTGAAAAGGAAAGTTGAAATGGATGCAATGTAGTAGCTCACCATGGCTTGAAAGAGTTGGGGGGGACTGTACAATAGCGAATACCATATCCCTGTGGTAGGTTCCTATCCGTACGTTTCTGCAATATGGGCTATGTGTTTTAGTCATGCTCAGTGTTCCCTGCATTTAAAAATCAACTCCACAGTTCATAGACAGATGTTAGGGTCGGAAGGGACCTCAATAGATCATCGAGTCCGACCCCCTGCATAGGCAGGAAAGAGGGCCGGGGCTAGATAAAGAGTGCTGGGTCTAGATGACCCCAGCTAGATGCCCATCTAACCTCCTCTTGAAGACCCCCAGGGTAGGGGAGAGCACCACCTCCCTTGGGAGCCCGTTCCAGACCTTGGCCACTCGAACTGTGAAGAAGTTCCTCCTAATGTCCAATCTAAATCTGCTCTCTGCTAGCTTGTGGCCATTATTTCTTGTAACCCCCGGGGGCGCCTTGGTGAATAAAACCTCACCAATTCCCTTCTGTGCCCCCGTGATGAATAGCAGTTGATTTCCATTACTGCTTTTTCATTACAGCTGAGTACATGCTGCTTTTGGCAGGAGGTTAATGATGTACAGTATTTATATATAGTGAGGTTTTCCTACACACAAATAAGACATAGGGCTTTTTTCTCCATGCTGATTGGGGGGGGGGGGGGGGGGGGAAGGGGCAGAGTGGTCATATTTAGAGTAAATATGGTAGTTCAAATGTGATGCATGCTACTGCTCTAAGATGACAGCAGGTCTGGATTTTTGTCTCTGACTGAGGTAGTGGCAGTCTTGTTATCTAAATCACAGAACATGGAATTTAATAAGCTAAACTGTAACTGATCTAAATCAGCTCCCTCTTTCAAATTTGGAGAAGTTACTCTCTTTTATTAAGTTTCCCCATCTCATAAAACATTTGGAAAAAAATTAAATTGCATAATCCATGGCAATACACTATGCAAAATTACCTTTTGCAAGTTCACGTTTATACCTCACATTCATCTCCAAGACAAAAATCCCAGAAACAGGTCTAGAGCTTACCGACAATATTTACCCTTAAAATTAGGTATACCATAACCTGGAAAAGCTTTTGTTAAGAAGCCACAGTTTGGGTCACATTCACCATTGATGAAATTAATCAATTCTTTTTTCTTATATTAGTATTTAATTTGGTTCATTTAATATAATAATGTATGAGCTCTGTGTACTACAAAAATGTTTTAAATAATTTAAAATATACTGTTATGCCCTCCAATCTTTCTTGCCCATTAAAACATATGTACATAAACATCGCTTCTGTAGGTAAAATGTATTTTATTAACCTCTTCAATAATACCTTTTCCTTTCTACCAGGGCCCCTTCTAGATAAAAAAACAAAACAACTTAAGCGTGAAGAGAAGTACAATGTACAAAGCATAAATCAGAAATCACATGGTTATTTCTGGAAGAAGGGTACAGCAACAGACACTACTGTGTCATGCTCAGAATTCCTGGAAGATTTAATATTGAATAAAATAAAAAAGTTTACCCATCTACTGATTAAAGCTGCCTCTACTCAATACTAGAAACAATGATGTCTTAAATAAGGAGCCAGTTCCTTACCTTAACAGCCCATATGGACTGCTCTAAGGGATGGAAGAGTTTAAAGCAAAAGCCATCTTTCTTGGAAGGCCGCTCAATGAGCTCACAAGCATTCAGGAGCACTGTTCCTACCCACTGGCCATTTTTGGGGGTTTTGTAAATAAGCAGTACTCCTGGTTTCAACACACACCACAATTTGGTCCAACTTTTCAAGGTGCCACGAATCTACAGAAAAAGATAAACAGGTATTTAGGATTCTACCTGACCAAAAAAAAAAAAAAAAAAAAAAAAAAAAAATGAATTTCATCTCTCCTACAAAGACAGAAATTAAGCCTACGTCATTTGATGGCTATTATCTAAAACAAAGCAAGTCTGTTGATAATACAGTATTCTCTACTTCTCTGTGGTAAGACAGGTTTAGATGTTACACAACCGAAGGTGCACAAAAAGTCAACATCTGAGAATGCTTCTGGATCTCAGAAACTTAAAGTCCCCTGGAAGAAGAACTACAGTATATTTTATTGTTAGTGTGTTACACAGGCCTTTGGAATTGCTACGTGGTATGCTCCAATACACACTTAAGGCAAGTGAGAAGCTGGCACTTGTTACAACGGGCCATAACAGTACTTAGAAATCTTATTGTGATTCAAAATAAATGTGAAAAAAAAAGTCTTAGCCGATTTTATATATAACACTTGAAATACACAGGTTTCAATTTCTACCTAAGACACAATAGACCTATCCACAGATTTAAAATGCCTCCTTAGAGTCAAGGCACCCCTCAGAATGCGCCAGCTTTTAGGTTTCACTTCTTTTTTGACAAATGAAAAAAATAAAATAAACAGAGCAATTCTTCTGTTGCAAAGAACTCAGAAAGACTTGAACACTGTTTTGATGTTACAGATTTCTATTTGAAGTCTCTGGGTTTATCGTATAAATCACATTTGCACACCTCACAGTGCTAACATGCTGTGGCACCCCTCAGCACCCCTGAAAGGATCTCAGGGCACCCTAGGGTTAAGAATGACTGGTCTAGGGTCTGGACATCTGATTAACATTTTGTTGGCTCTGAACCTTATTCCTTCCCATCCACTTGATTCAATGCCAATTTAGGGTGTGAGAGAAGTAACAACTGAAACATTTCAAAGAGACATCTGTACAGATAGACAAGCCCTTTGAAAACACAAAACCAAGTGAATCGCTCCAAAAAAGCACTTCCTTTAAAAGAGGGACTATTTTGGAATATTTCACTTTTGGTTACATGTGCATGGAGAGCTGGACTGTGGCTGAAGCCAGACTTACCCCCTCCTGTCTGACCCCCTGGAAGCCTCACTGACACTAGAACCAGGCCCTCCAGCCCCAAGACCCTGAAGAAAGGAGAGGTTAACACCATTTGGAAGCCTGCACTGCCCTTGCCCCCAACACACCCACACCTCTCCACCTCTTTACTCTTCCCAGTAACTCCCCTCCCCATAATGGGGCAGGGAGGAGTAAGCACAGCACAGAGCCACAAGTCATTACACCCTGTTCTAATCCCCCACGGCCATGGCTGATGCTAGAAGAGGCTTTAGTTTTGAAACATTCAGCTAGGAACAGCACAGGGGCATGTGTGTGTGTCCCCTAGCTGGAACATGTCCTTTTTGAACAGTCCCCAGGTGTTTAAATTTAGAAACATTTCAATCATTACATTTGCCCACACCCCCACTGACCTTCAGAGACCTGCCTGTTATGCAGTGTAATAAGGTAGGTATTTACACTGAGATATGGCTCAGGGTAAATATTTTGTACAAAAAAAGAACTAAATGGCTTACCCATAAGTAACATATTTTTAAAAATTAAGTTAAGAAAAGACCACATTATTATTGATACAAGTAGCTGTGGAAGGGATGTACTTCTCACCTTTCCTACAGAAAATTATAGGTCATAAGGGAGAAAAGCAAGTGAACAAGAAGAAACCTGTGTTAGTTTGTGGCCTTTTTGCTACTTTTAATAGAAGCTGCAGAAAGTCTACAATTAAATATTAATAACCAAAATGAAAAAAAAAAACAAATCATAAACCGAACTCATCAAAAAAAAAAAAAAGATTGCACAACACAAGGTAGACTAACTAGGGTGACTACTCTAAGTAAAAGCTAGGTTCCTACATTAGTCCTGTAGGAGTCGAGCATGGAGCCTCTGGGATGCAATTAATAGCTGCTCGGCTCCTGGAAAAACACTAATCAGCAACCCACTCCGATACCGAGCCTTTTCTATTCTGGTAGGTAAACAGTAGGCAGCTGCTAGAACTTCAGCTCAGGTTTCACACAAGTTCTGACCTTCAGCCAATCAGCCATAACAATAACTGATGGGTCTGTGATTGTACTAAGTAATTCTTTCGTGGCTCTCTTCTTCTCTTCTCTGTAATTTTTCTTTTGAACCTGTAATTAATAAATAAAAGAAATAGAAAAAAAAAACGTTATAATCCATGGAAACAAGCAAGTGAGAGCAATAAAAAGCCCCAGCCAAAACAACCAGCCAACCAACCCACCAGGAAAAACAAGGTGCAAAACACAACAGGTAATAGATGCAGAAGCAGCATCAAGATGCAAAGGAATGTTTGCTTTCAACACGAGATATCTCCAAATTATTTCAAGAACAGCCACTTCTGATATTAAAGGATACAGACTGTCAAGGTTAAGAATACTTTACTGTTCATATAAGCATCACTTAATTTTATTTTTTTTTCAATAATCTAAAGACACTTCTCATTTGACTGTCACTACTTTACTATTTAACTCTTCACTGCTCATCCTGACAAACACACGTAGTAGATGAGTTAGTTTCATCTTCATTTATAATCAATTACTAATCATTTTTAAGTTGTCACATATTTGAGGTTTCAAAAGGGCTAAGATCTGCCAATGAATTTAGGTAAAAAAAAAAAATGTCACCTTGCATGCTGTTAAAAAACAAAAACAAAAAAAAGCCCCACCAAGCTAATTTGGGGGCCAGATTCGATTTAAAATTTGACTGTCTCTGAAAAACCATCAAATCATAGAAAAAGTAGGACTGGAAGGGACTTTAGGAGTATCACCCTTTTGCATCCAACTCAAGCATCTAAAATCAAAGTCCCCCTCTATTTTTAGGGACAGTGGAAAGAGACTAAGGTTTTGGTTTCACTTGTTTTGCAGCAGAAATTGATAATGGGCCATTTCCCGCCAATAATGATAGATCAGCTAACGTCTATAGCCATCTCGCTTCTCATTTCTTACTAAATTTAATATTAAGATATTTTAAACTTAATAGAATGCAGTACCAACAATACACACATGATAAGGCATTGGTAATTCAACAAGAGGCACCTCTACCCATTTTGTGCATCATCCCAGTCTACATCATAGAAGCATAGCGCCTCATAACTATGCAAGAAACGATTTGGTGCAAACTGAAGGGGTGACAAAAGACTCAGCAACACTACTTCTCCTAACACCTTATAAAGCCTTGTTTATGCTATTTTCCAGTCAAACCTCAGGAAGTCAAACGAGGTAAAACAGTGCCCTAAGAAAAATATTTTGAAAGCAACTCACCTTAAGAGACTCTTTTTTTGTGAGCTTAGTTGAAGCTGAGGAGATGTCTTTCTCCGAGCCATTGTAAAGCTTGGATTCAGACTGAAATTTATAAAATAAAAAACAATTAGTAATACTGATAGATACCTGGATACAACAGAATGACATTTCAGCCACTCACAAAAGTAATATTGGTGGCATGCATGAGTTTATCTATAGACTTCTGCTCTCTGTTCAGTTTCCTTTTATTTTTCTTCACCAAAAACAAAATTCCCAGTAATCTGATCTATTTACAACCTATAGTTCTACTTGATAAGATACTTCAAGGACTGAAAGCACGCAAGCGATTCCTCCAGAAGCAGCTTTGCTACATGCAGTAAATATTTAGCATGTGTTGCCTGTTGCTAAGGAACCCCTGCTGAATATTCCAAACTCTTGATTAGTTAAGAAATCGTTTGCAAGAGATCAATGGTTTCGTTCTTACTTATAAGAAGTACTCTATTTTGTATAGGTACTATATTTAAAATGGGAGGAGCTTGAAATCTGATAAATTTGATCTACAGCCTCCACCGCCAGCTACAGAACTCCTCCCATAACAAATGTTATTAAGGCACTTACCCCCTGACCCATGAAGGGAAAGATGCAGTCTTCTCAAGCTAGATGTAAATCTTCCCCATGGCCCCAGTGACCCATGAAGAGAAATATTCAGTCTCTTCAGACTAGAATCAAGTCCAGTGCATAAATTAATGCATTACAGCTGCCCAACAGCACTCTCACAGCTCCCACCTGTCCCCCAAACTCCTGACAATTAATCAACTTTTTCCCCCAAGTGCTACCAAACAGGGGAATAGGACTCAAGTTAGCTTTATAAAACCCGAGTCGTCTTTCACAGCTGAGCAATGTGCTGCCTCAGCACCACATGATTTTTTTTTTTGTCATGTCTTGAAAGGTTCAAAGTTTGTTCCTTTGCCTCTCTTGCCCACTAGCTGAAAGGGAACTGGAAGAAAAGACTGAGCCAGCCAATAACTAGCAAGTGGCCACAGCAGCCTGTAACATTACAGAAGACTTTTCTTACATGATATGTCACCTGTCACTATCATTGCAACCTATTTAATCACCACTGGAAACTGCTCAATAAGTATCTGCTATGGTCTTAAAAATAAACTTCAGACAAGTTAGAGAGATATCTATTTCTTCATGTGCTGAAATGTAACCCTGATTGACACTGGTTGCTTAGCAAAGTGCCCTGGGATTAGAGAAGCCTTGAAGGACAATATTTTTTGACCCGTTGTCTGTAATCCATTTTACTTTTCAGACCGACCGTTCCGCTTTAAAAACCTTAGTTTACAATGTGATATTTATTCAGTTTCTCTGAAACACAATAGTGCAACACTGCCCAGTCTTTTCTGCCTGTGGATTGAAGCAGTACCAGTTCTGTCCATGGGCTGGATCCAGTCTGCAGACACAATCCAGTGCGCAGTGCTGGCCCAGTCTCAGCCCAAAGCAGCTGCATAAGTCCCTAAGTGGGCCACTGCCATGTGGCTGCATCAGGCCCTGGCTAGATCCAGCCATGCAGAAATAGGATCCAATACGTCTGTGCAGGGCCATGTTGGTTTGAGCCAATCCAGCCACATACGGCTTGGAAAACTGGGGGTGGGGAAGCAGAGGCAGTGTTAAATTGTGGGGAGACCTAAAGGCTGAATTACATAGCTCCTTGGGCCAGATCTGGCCTACAAGCCAGGGCTTGAATAACCCCGCTTCATAGCGACCAAGTCCAAAATAAGCAAGTGTTAGATAAGCAACCAATAAAAGAAAAAAAGCACAACATTTAAACATAAGAACATAAGATCCAAAAAGACATCATTATTGTTGGAACTAATTCCAATTTAACTTTGGGCAGCATGCTAATGTGTTTCTTTTCATTCTGAATTTTAAAACATTCAGTCTCGTTTATGTCAGCACCTGCATAAATACCTGCACTTAAGAGCTGAACTGGTAGCAAGTTCTTGCTTTAATTTTAAAATAAGCCATTTTTTAACCTGGGAGCTTTAAAAATTGACAGGTCTTTGTTTAGTTTGTATTTTGTGACTTCAAAGAAAGAATAAATTTACTTTTTCTCTCTCCTTTGCTATAATTGGGGAAGCAGGTGCCCAAAAGACAAGTGTAAGCCTATCTGGCAAACAATAAAGTTTAGATTATTCAAAGAAAATAACTATATCAGCACAGCTTTTCCCAGCAAAAGGTAAGTTTTCCCTAAATTCTGCCTAAGAAATTTGGGATGTTAAGAGAGATGGACATCCTATACATTTTATACTGGAAGCCCATTCTTAAGTGAAGTTCAGATTCTATAGCTAAATGCTCAGAGAATTTAAATTCTTGGCTGATAAAGTCTGAAGGAATTTTATCACAGTAGCAGGAACAGAACAGAGATATGGAAAGATGCCAGGAGAATTCATTAGGAGTACCCATTAGAAAAGGTTAATGGAACATGCTAAAGTAACATTAAGTTTTCTGGCTGTCAATCTAAATAAACCAGAAAAGGATCTTGGAGTCATTATTGATTCCAAGATGAACATGGGCCGCCAATGTGAGGACACGGTCAGTAAGGCTAACCGCACCTTGTCGTGCATCCACAGATGCATCGTGAGCAGGTCCAAGGAGGTGATCCTCCCCTTCTATGCGACACTGGTCAGGCCGCAGTCGGAGTACTGAGTCCAGTTATGGGCGCCGCACTTCAGAAGGGATGTAGACAGCACTGAAAGGGTCCAAAGGAGGCCCACTCACATGGTCAGGGGGCAGCAGGGCAGGCCCTATGAGGACAGGCTACGGGACCTGAACCTGTTCAGCCTCCACAAGAAAAAAGGCTGAGAGGGGATCTGGTGGCCGTCTATAAAAAACTCACCAGGGGAACCAGTGAGGAACGGGAGAGTCCCTGTTCCCCCCAGCACTACCAGGAGCAACTAAGAATAACGACCACAAGTTGACTGAGAGTAGGTTCAGGCTAGACATCACGAAGCACTACTTTATAGTCAGGGCGGCTAGGATCTAGAACAAACTTCTAAGGGAAGTGGTGCTCGCTCCAACCCTAGGGGTCTTCAAAAGAAGGCTAGATAATCACCTAGCCCGGGTCGTTTGACCCCAGCATTCTCTCTGGCCCATGGCAGGGGGGCAGACTTGATGATCTGCTCAGGTCCCTTCTGACCCTGCCAACTATGAAACCTATTGATGCAATCTAATTCAAGGAAAAGCCTATACTTAGGACCCTACATTAATACAATCTCATTCCAGAACTATAAAGCCTCAGTCTTCACAACAAGGCTCAATTCCCAAGTATATGACACTATTGAGACACTGCTATGGAGGTATCTGTCAGAAACAGAACATTCTGGGCTCTAATAAAAAAAAAATTATCAAGCTCTTCCTTAAGGCTTAGATTCATAAATAAGAGAACTACAATGCACAACATGAAGAAAAATAAAGATTGTAAAGAACTAACTGCAACTCCCAGTGAGGTACCTGTTGTACCTAAGTACCGGGTTACAGGTAGTTCTCAGAACCACTGTTCCAATCCATCGCTGAAGACAAAAGACCTTAAATTTTGGTAGGTGGAACAGCCAGTTGCCATCTTCTGTCACCATGAAGTTCATCCTGGGGTACCGGAAGCTATTAAGTACCATCAAATATCACACAAAGAATTACAAGAAGAAAGTGATTAAGTTGGGAAAGAAATAATCTTTTTGTCCCGCCTATCTGGATCTTGTACACCTACAAAACTGGGCAAGACAGAACAAAACAAGGAAAGGTAAGAAATGGAAAGATGCAAAAACAAATGCAATTAATACTCAGCAATCACTAAAGAAGTATTACTTAAAGAAATTAAAGAATGAGTAAAGTCAGTCATCACAAAAATTGAGAAAATGATTATGCTAGTTTCTATGTCAAGAAAGATTCAGAAGCTTCAGGACCAGACACTTGGATCAAAGACAAGAAGAATAAGTCATATCTTCTTGCTCTCTTCTACTAACGGGATCCATGGGTGGAAGAAAATTAGACAGTTCTCCTTTGTATGAGAAGTGATCCTGAGTTCTAAGGCACTAACTAACTTCAGAACACACCAATATCCTCAACTATGACATCACAGATCTCCAAAGCTTTTTTATCAACTGCAAGGTACTGAGCAGGAGGATAGTACTCCTGGGTGTACAATATTACATCCAGGTAAAAGGGTTTATTAAAACTGAATAAAGTAAGAGTTTATCATGGAACTTCAATTGCAGTTTTGTAGTTCCCTCACTCTAAGTAGGGATTTGATTGGGGGGGGGGGGGGGTATGAAGAACACAGAATATCCACTTTAAATGTTTGCAAGTGAGGATTTAGAAAAGCATCTTCCATGCAAATTTCTCTCTCTCTCTACAAAGGGGTCATTAAACAAGGGATGCAGCCAGCTAACAATTCTATGGCAAGTGAAGATAAGGACTGTCCTTGTACTGGTGACTAAAAGAAAAAAAAAACAACCAAAAAAAACAACTGAAGCACATCAAATACTGTAAAAGGACACTTCCCTCTTATAGACACTGTATAAAAATCTGGCCTTCCCTATAGCCAAAGATAGCCTTTGCTTAAGATGAACACCTTTGACACCTATATACTATTGGGGATTAAGGCCCAGATAAAGTTAGAGCATGTAAACAAAAAGAATGAAAAGGACATTGCAAAAACCTGAAATTGGAAAGCTCCGTCTTCATATAGACTGCTGGGATGCACCCAGAGTGCAACTTTAAAGCACTTGGGCAGAAACAGAATGTATGACAAGAAAGACCAAAGTAATATGTCCCATGTATTATTATACTGGACTTCCACACAATATATTCTCTGGCATGCTCTGGTAACTTTTCAGTACGTTTAGAAAAAGTCTTTGATGCAATGTCCAGGCATATCCCTGGCGTTTACCTTTATCATTGTTTACAGACTCCTATGAAGCAAAGCTTTGAAAACCTATAGGCTTGGAGTCGCAACAGAGATTAGAGACCCTCTGGCATCCCTGGAACCCTTAATCATACAGTTATATGATTTTTTTAAAAATGGGAAGAAAATATTTAAAGTTTAACTTTTGCAGATTTCCCATGGGTAGGTACTCAGTGATTGCAACATTCCTGGAAGATTTTTAACTCTCAGATTAGCAACCTGTGCTCTCAATCTTTAATCTCCTTTAACAAAAGCTATTTGGTCCAGGAATCATACTAATATTTTCCACTTCTTGTCTGGCTCAAGTCACTCCTATTCCTGCTTAGTAAACAGAGGGGGACAGGGTGATATACATATTCATTCTCACCGTACTACCGGTGCTGTGCTTTTGCACTGCAATTGCACCACATTGGGGGGGGGAAAGCATTTGGAGCCAACTACAAGTCCTGAATCTTCAAAGAGACTTTAAAATCAATTTGATTTTAAATCATATTTACAGGGGCGCTACAGGGATTTGGGAGCGGGGCTTAAGGGTCTGGGGGCACAGGTAGTGTTCTCGTCGATCCTCCCAGTCTCAGGCTATGGGCTGAGAAGGGACAGGAGGATCTATGTGGTCAACCAAAGACTGCAGCGCTGGTGTCGTCAGGAAGGCTTTGGCTTTCATGACCACAGCCAGAAAGGCAGCGAGCTGCTGGGAAGGGATGGCCTCCACCTCTCTCCCCTAGGGAGGAGGCTCTTCTCAGCCAGACTGGCTGACCTGCTCCACCGGGCTTTAAACTAAGCCCGTTGGGGGACGGGGGGACTAC